TTGACTTGTTGAATGGTATCATGATTGCTACAAAACTCAAAGCTTATTAATAACATCTCTAGAAGCAGTCTAGGGTATATTACGTCTAATTTCACTATATATCTGTCAAAATAGTTAAAGCTTAGAGACAGACTAGCTAAAACATTGAATCAATGCATGATATCTTTGACTATTGGTCTGAGTAGTGTGGTGAAATGTAGACGTCTCAGTCAGCATCTGAGTAACAACTGAAATCGCTGGTTGGAGACTGTAGGTGATATTGCTGAGAAATGATCGCAGTGATGCAGGTGTATCTACATATTAGTGTGAGAGTAAAACAGGCACTGTGACAGAATGTAACTCCATTTTAGTTTATCTGTTAGATGTATCATACAGGGGAACGGCATGATCCACTGGATAACGTCTTGAACAAAATTTATTGTCCATAGTCTTATCGGGATAACTTTACAACTCTGAGACATAGTTTATATAGTACAAACTTCCTCACCTCCTTTGTGGTATATGTAATAGGATTTTCCATAAATTCGGAACAGCTGCAGAGTCAATCCTGTTGTAAGCACTTTTAGCGTTGATTCGATGACTATGGACAATAAACTGTGTCCGAAACGTAACCCAGTAAATACTACTAATAAATCAACTTAAATGGTACCAAAACGTTCTTTTCATTTAATTCTTGACACAGATTTTCATTCATGCTTTATTCCTTCTTGTTCTCTTTTCCTAACTCTGTCACTTTGACAGCCTTCTTTCTTATTTCTCTACCTTTCACCCAAGTATCAACTAACTTGATGTGATGGTATGAGATGTGGTAACTTGAACAGTCAGGCAGTGTCGCCAAGCTGCAAGTTGATCATGACTGACTGATTCACAGAGAAAATGTAGTAACAGCTTACGGTGAGACAATTTTAGAGTCTGTCAAGAAACCACTTCAGAAATGAAGAATGAAATGGGGGAATAACATAATTTTCAAGGATAAAAGCAGCCTACAGACAAATCAGTTTAATTATCATTTGAGAATCTAAAAGCGTGTCAACTTGCCTGTTAGATGTCACATAACACAACAGTTTTGTTTATAACATTTCAAGCAGAACTTACTGTCAGTCAGCGTATTTAAGCAACGTTACATCTCTGAGACCTGGTATTTATTACTCAAATTTTAACAATCCCTTCATATCACGAACAACAGAACCTTTTAGAGATACACAGCATACTTTCACTTATTCATATATCATATATTACTTATTCATTCAATAGGGAATCCTTCAAATTCATCGCTGAAATTGACACTGAAATTTCATTAGCCAGAATCTTACCTCCTTTACTCGGTTTGATCAGTGGTTTTTACAACCCACAATCTCAATATAAATCATACTATTGTTCATGAAATGATACCTCACTATCAGTGATTTAAAAATTGGTTGAATACTCAAGTTTTCAAGCCGAAACAGTGAACTTGATATTTTGTAGGGTATGACATATCCGTTCAAGAAACATTTCAAAAAAGTGATTTAATTGGTTGATTAGTTAGACGAGTCCTTGGTGGGTTGAATTTGATAACTTACTTTAGGCCGATAAGTTATAGATTCAAACTTTGTGATCACCACCTGTACCTTGTTAACCTTCCAGTGTTATAAGTCTTCAAATAGTAAATACGACTCATAATCCATAACATGAACCTTCAGATGCTTGATGATTTGCATTATTGTTCTCATCTACCACGTGGTCCTGATCTAATACTTTGTAAATTGGATTGTTCTAACTTCTTAGTATCCTAATTTCTGCAATATTGTTGGAGTAATATATTTCAGAAACAGGTGATCATTTTGATTAACTTTCTTGATGTAATAAGAGGGTGGAGTTTATCTGGGAGATGTGGCGTAGTAATTCAAGATTCAGTAATGAAGTATATTTAAATGTAAACCATATCATATGATATTTTCACTGAACAAACACATAGAAGAACCAATAGTTGTTGATATGAAAATGATAAAAATAACTATCCAATGGTGAATGATCTTGGTCTTTAAATTCATTGTATTCCACCTCCATAATTTCATCATTCAACCCAAGGGATTTTAGACATTACAAATACTTTTCATCAATATTTTTATTAAATAAGTTAGTAAATAGTAAATTACTTATTGTTATTTGTCCCTTGGGTTCCTAGTGGAACATAAGACTGCAGTAGCACGTCTCCATTCCACTCTCTTCTCTGCAATCTTCTCAACCTAGCTCCACGACTACCCACAAGCTCTCATTTCCTACTCGCACGATCTCCTCCATGTCACCACCTCGGATGCCCAACTCGTAGCTTCCCATCCGGGTTCCACTCGACGGTCTGACCTGGCGCGTGTTGTCCCCAGTCGGCCTTCTCAATGCATGCCCAATCCAATCCATCTCCACTTCCTTCCATTGCATATTTGTTGAGTGACAGGTTCTTGGTTGGTTCGTTAACAACCAGAGTTCATTGTTGCTGATTCTTTCTGGCAATCCATCTGATCTTCAGTGTCAGTAACGAGCCAGAGTAGGTGGCAGTTGTTGATGAATGTCTATAATTCGTTGGAAATGCCTTTCGTAACGCGTCAAGTCTCTCAACCATCACATGGAAGCACTGACTTGACTGAGTTGGTGTTGAAAATCCGGATGTTGTTCACACTTTATACTGAGTGGAGAAGATCTCCACACTGGTTTCAGGATGAGAAAGGCCTGTCTTGCTGTGTTTTCAATCCTGGCTGGCTTTGACGTCCTCGTCTGTGCCGCATGTAGTTGAAACGATGCTTCCTTGCCTGGATAGGTGAAAGAGGCTACTTTCTTTACTTTTCTCCTGTTGTTGGTGATTGGAGCTTGTTGTTGTTGTTGGTGTTTGTTGGGTATCATCATCACCTCTATCTTCTCTACGTTCACTTGAATTCCCGTCTTCGCTGCCCTGCCCTGTCTCTTCTGTCAACTTGTTAGTTTTTACCTATGGATCTGCGAGTTTGTGTGACGTTAGACACAGGTCATCGGCGAAATCTAAATCTTCTATGTTCTTTTCCGCGGTCCAGCAAATAGTAAATAAGTTTTTGATAGTACAAAATTCCCACTGACCTCGTAGACCTCTGACAGTGATCAGTAGTGCTCGGCAGAAATGTCAAGTCGGTCTAAGGACTGGACGATTGCTTCGTTCACTTGGGGACTGGTTTATCTCACGAGTATCCGAATTGTTCAAACTATACGGATTTTGGTTAGTTACTTAATTGGACTGGTCATAACTAGAATCGAATAAGATGCATGCGAAAAAATACCTATATTGTTGAGTTCAGCCAACTCGAAAACATACTGTTCATTTGTTACCCTATATATTACTGGGTTTTTTTTATTTAATGACATCATCATAAAGTCAAGTTGCTTCATTTAGTTGTTCTGTTTCTGTTGCCTACCCCTAAGAAAGTGAATGCCTTAAAGATACATTCGCCTAAGATTCTACCGTCACTAAGGTTTTCGTGTCACCTGAACTTCATAATAATCGAAATTCAAAGATTAGTCAGTTTATTTCACTTTCAATAAATAATTATCATTAAATGTTGAGGGAGTTGTGGAGATTTGGAATTATTTCAAGTTGTTATTCATCGTAGACTGACATCAGTTGGAGGAACAAAGGAAGCCTGGGAGTACTGGACAGCTGTTTCGTCCCAGTATGGGACTCCTCAGCAGTGCTCACCCACGACCCCACACCAGCAGGGATCGACCTCGCGACCTTCAGGTTCCGCGACCAGCGCGTTACCATTGAGCCACTGGGTCAGAATCCAATGCTCCATATTTCCAACTTCTGTTAGCTCACGATATAGCGCAACCGCCACCCAATGTCATTGCTGAGTATCTATCCTCATGGCCATCAGGCTTTGACTCCACTGGTCACGACTTGTCATTGGAACTTCGGGAATACTTCTCGAAGCTAGTCACCAATGAGCACCAGTTCAATTAAATTTTGAGGGAGTTGTGGAGATTTGGAATTATTTCAAGTTGTTATTCATCGCAGACTGACATCAGTTGGAGGAACAAAGGAAACCTGGGAGTACTGGACAGCTGTTTCGTCCTAGTATGGGACTCCTCAGCAGTGCGCACCCACGACCTTCCTTTGTTCCTCCAACTGATGTCAGTCTACGATGAATAACAACTTGAAATATCATTAAATAGTCATGATCTGACCTCCGTAAACAGAAATACAATTGGGATTAACCTTGAAATACTCTTGTAACTGTGTATTCATTTAAAAACACTATAAGTCTGTATACATAGTGACTCATTTAAAATATGAAAACGCTAATCACTCCTAAATTCTTAACCTTTTGCTTTTCTATCTCACACTAGAACCATCTGTTATGTTAAATGTAATAGCAAGTTGATTTAGGTAAAATCTAAAGTTACGTTATCTGTATATTTCCATGATACGTTGGTATACTGTAGTCTTTTGTTTTCATCTTTGTCTGGAACAATGTGTATCACTTGTTTACTTGTTGTTTTGGTCAACCCTTTTTGATTTTAGACCACCTGCAGTTGATGAGATGATGTGAAATTAAATGTTCACATTTGATTCTATAATCGTCCTTGTTTTATTCTATAAGGGTGGTGTTTTTAATTAGTTCTGCCGTCGCTCAAATAGGCTACTACGCTAACCACCGTGATGTCTACTCATCTATTTATTACTTTATTGAGCATAAACCACCTATCTAGCTGTTTAACCTTGCAGATTATGAAATATATTTTCTTTTAAAATGATTTGTTTAAACAGACATACGAGTTTCAAGTAATCTGATTGGTTATTTTTATAAAATCGATGAGGCAGCCATATTTGACTTGTCTAGCCTTCCACTTCTACACGAAAGATGAAAAATAAATATAGTGGAACAAAATGAAAATAGAATCCAGTACATTAGACAACATTTAAAACAGGCGATACTTTGTGAAAAATCACGTGCATATCAATTTATGTATAAGTGTTGCATTTTTGATGGGAAAATATGACTAATCATCTAAGGAATGTAGGAATCCAGCCTACTTTGAAAACATTTTTGGCTCGTGCAGTATACGATAATATATCAGAAAATGCAGCGGAATTAAACTTTTCACGTGGTGATTTACTAACAGTATTAGATAGAAATCCATCTGGTTTAAAAGGATGGTGGGTGTGTAGTATACGTGGTCAACTGGGAATTGCCCCTGGTAATCGTCTGGAATTACTGGGTCTGATCAATGTAAGTATTTTAAAACAGTTTGTCCGTTTTACAAGTTTAAATTAAGCATTAAGAAAACAGTTTTGCAAGATGATGTCATTTCGCAGTTTCTTAACAAACTAAATTGGTTTCGATGTTTCACATTTGATATTATCGATGGAGAGTGAATAGAAATGAAGTCCAGGACATTCGTTTCATCCAGTACCGAGGCAACTGCACAGGAGCCTATATGCCAACACCGGCTGACAAGTGGAGATGTGCAATGTAGATGGACAAGCTATTACACCAAAGACTATGCTATGCCTATCGCGCAAGGAGCGGCTATCATGACTCAGTGACCTAGTGGTAAACATTCTAACTTTTGAAGTGAATGGTCCTGGGTCCAATTCTTAGAGGGAACTACACCATTCATCTAATTGACGAGTCGTGAATGGGAGGAAACATCCGTCCTGGATTCCACTGCAAACTGCTATCCATCGTTATTAGTCATTAGTATTAATTTCATGAACAGTCATCAATAAATACCTGGTTATAGATGATGCTGGATTCCTATTCATATTATGTACTTTTGATTTAATCATACGATTTGATAGCCACTGTGGAATATGCTTTTTCTCATGGTATTGCCTCATTCTGTCAGCTTTATCTCCTATATAAGTATCCCTACAACTGCAGATGAACTTGTAAAGTAGAATTAATCGAATTTTTCTCTTCAACTGTTGCCAATGAAAGGTGAAATGTTCTTGAGGTTAAATAAAACGAAGTAGTATAGAAAGTGAGCTTGACAGTCAATGGAAGGCTTTGCACTTTCAACTGCACAATCTGATCACCTTTAAATGGTAGACTCATGAAAACCCGTTTCTTTATTATTACAGATATCTTCTCAGTGTGCAGTTGTTCTTTACAATGACAGTCAATATACTTTTCTTGGCAAACATAGATCTGTAAAACTTAATGTATGCATTATATTTAGTCATCTAGTCTATCACTAGTGTAGATCCTACGGAATCTTGAAAATAGACAGTTAACCAAAGAAGGTTTATACTGAATAGGATAGTCGCACCATTTCATCTGGTGATTAAAATGACCAGAATGCCCTAATTATTACTCTGTTCATATTCAAACAGATATCAGGGAAATGTTGGGATGAATACGATTGAATAAGGTTGTAATAAAATCAAAAACTGTTTTATGATCTTCCCTATAATGACAGTATCATTCACATAACATTCATAGAAAGTGAAGATTTGTAATGTACCTTTTCATTTGATTTATTGGTACTTGTAATTTCCCGTTGTTATTCTTGATGGGATTGATCGAAGTGTGTTGGGATATGGGCTGCTATGCGGATGCGTCAATACTGTTTGATTATTGATTATGTTGTATTTATTTAGTAGTGGCTAATAGGGGGATCTAAGCCACGCTTTTCATCCTATTTTGGTCTTAAAAGCCAGATGTATCTGTCTCCCAGTGAGCGATATTATTCCCACTGAGACTCGAACCTATTACCTATCGCTTCAAATGCCAAAGTGTCATCCAGTGGGGCATGATAGTCACCTCTTATGCGACAGGTATCAGTTATTATCAGCGTTTGTTGATACTCGTAATTCCCTGTTGTTATTATGGGTCATTTTGACTGACCTTCATTTGCGTTTCCTATTCAGAAGTGAATATTTATACCAATATCATACCTTCGTCTTTCACGGTGACAATCATAAAACCTAAGTCTAAGACTTTCTTGTAAACCACTGAATGCTCTAAAGTGAAATTTGATCATTAAATTAAGTTGTCAGAATTTACATAATTTTGCCAGTGCATTTTCGTTAGTATGACACTGAAACTCATCCAGTTGGCAACTCATTCTCAAAATATAATCCTATTGGTCAATTATGATATGACCACCTTACTAATAAAATCTCAAATGGTTAGTGACTGACAACTGCCAACCAGTGTAAAGCACTTCAAGGACGCTTGTTAGCTGAACGGCTTGTTGTTTGGATGATAATAGAATCTGGCAAACTACTATGTAAACACTTCACTGATGAATCAACATTTTAAGTTAGCTTTCATCATCTATTAAAATCAAGGTAGATTGAAACAACTATCAGATATCATCAGGTTGTCAGTAGTTCTGCAAGGACTGCCAGTTCAAAATCCCCAAATGAATCTATATATTTCACAAACCAACAGTTAAAAGTTATGTTGTTTATTGAGCAGTAGCAGGAGACCACAGTGCCCAAGTTTTACTCTTATATTAGTAGGAGATATTCTTAAGCCAGTTTTGATCTGCTAAGACTTCCTCTAAGTTATGAACAAAATCTTTTTGGATTTATTATAACGCTTTTATATAATCAGTGGTTATTTAATTTGACTGATATCCCCTGAAGAATCATCGAAATTCAGGAGTGAGGTAGTAGATGGTTGTGTCACTCTGCTTTTAGAATCTTACTAGAAATTTTCGATTGAATATATGGTTATACTTATATTTTAGAGACTTTGTGGCTAATACATTAATGATTATCCATTGGATATGAATCAACAACTAACAAACTCACCATCGATCAATTCATTATGTTACAAAACTACCATCCTCAATGACAAGAGGATATCCGTACTCATTGCTGAGCTGATTCATTGCATGGATCATAGGTTCGCATAAAAGTTCAAGAAATCTATCTGAAGACAAGAGAATAATGAGGGATTCATGATAACCACTGTACGTTTAAGGTCAACCAGATGAGAAGTGGCTACATGTACTCATCACATGATCTCAAAGGCTTATGTACAATTCTGTAAGAGGTTAAGAATGTGGATTACCACGAAGTTTTAAAGTGGTATGTGAACACTATCTAGTGTTTTCTAGTTATTTAAGTTCTTTCGGATGATCTCAGCCCGTTAAGTAAATTATAGTGAAACCCACCAGCCCCACAGTATTCACACGATTAACTGCATGAATCTGTTGCTTTTCAAGGTATGTATTCACATTACTAGATCCTATTATCCATTTTATATTTCTGTAAGTAACTTTATAGTATGAATATGGTTAGTAGTAACCCTTAAGACGTCTGACCATACCATATGTTGTTAGACGGTTGGAGGCCGTCGACAGGAAGTCACATTTGACCCAGGTTTATTGACATGTGTCAGCAGGGTATATCTACAACCTTACCTAGTGCTGCAGTAACAGACGTTATTACCGACATCATCAGGCCATTATATACTGTTTACTCTCCAGTAACCAATCAACGTTTATCTTGTGGTGTTAAATGTTCAATTTCTCATCTTTCGATTCTGTTAAGTTGAGCAAAGATCCTAATATTTGTAATACCAAATTTCTTACATTTTGTGGCTTAGAGCATTTTTTATCATGCAAAATTTCAGTTATAAGTAGAAACGTGATATATATCTATATGGATGAGCTGAAATAGAACTCCTTCAGCTGAAAAATTTAAACTTTTTGTTTATGTAAAGCTACTGAACTCTTCCAACCATACTTCGCGCTGCTTAAATGATCAATGGGAGGTAGACAAGTAAGTGATAAGTAAGGATAGATGCATAAAATGTCAGAATTTGTATGAGTACAACATTATTTAAAGTGTGAGACGTAGTCTTTCTCAGCTGTAATAACTGTTGTTCTTCGATTTCGCACATACCTCACGACAACCTGTAGAACAGATGCACCAATACGTAGAGATAACAACCAGGTAATAGTGGTTCACTTCAAGATAGAGTTATCCTTGCATGTAAGAATCCAACTTGGTTATTGTGCTACAGTATAAATTCATATTCCAAGATAGTTTAGATATGCATATTTACAGCAAACCATTACACTGTCATAGATATGTACATTCAGTACCGTCTCACACTATATTCATGAAGACAGACTTGGTAATCAGGCCTGTAGTTTGACTAGGAAATCAGAAGATGCAGATTAATAACTCTAACATATTAAAGAAACATTTACACCTAATAATCACTTCGGAATTGACTGATAAGCTTAAAAGACTCATAGGTGAAAGAGAAGTAACAATATAATTAGTAATTGCTGCATGTCCAATTAGATTTATAATCTTCTTTAATTGGCTATATGAAGAAAGGATATCAGAAAGCCTATGCAGGATGTTAACAATTCTAAATTTAGAATGGCATTTCAACCCATGAACTCACTCAAACGGAAACTATGTAGGCGCAAAAAACTAGTTTATCTAACTGAGCAAACTAATCCGATTTATCAAATACTATATTTCGCTTATGAGTTCAAGTACACAGGTCAAAGTAACCGGTCAGGTTTAGTCAGAATGATCAGACCCAAAAGTATAGCGATACCTAGAATGATAGATCCGACTAGCACAACTAATCAAAAGAAAAACTAGCCTATCGTTCTACATGTAGCTGTTCATAATAACATTTTAAGGTGGAATAGAGTTACTGTTCTAAAGCCCAACATAGCTATGTTGGAGTAGAGACTGATTACCTAGGGGTATGTAACTGGAATGGTTCATCACATATTGCAGATAACTGGAAAATTTTGCTACTGCAAAAAATAATAGAATAAAGAATTTAAGAACTACAAATAATGAATTCGAAAGTTGTAGGGCTACTTTGGGATGATTATGAGTAACAAATTGTGCTCGAAACGTTATCCAGTGAATAGTATTGTGTCACTGCATGCTTTAACTAATAATATAATCTAAATGTTGAAACTGGAAATACTTATTAGTGATAGAAAACGAGTTAAAAATTGTTTTAAATATCTTCACATCGACTGACTGAGTATAGAGATGATATGCTTTTCATCCTACTGGTCAACCGCTTTCATGACTAAGAAGTTGAGTCGTTGTACATGATTTATATATATACTGAACGCCCACGTAATATACAGGTTATAATTCAAGTTGTAACTTAGCAACAAGCTATGAAAAAGATTTTCGACTAGCATTAGTAACAGGTAAGTGGACAGTTTGACGTACATGGCATATTAGACCACAACATAACGTTATAATGTTATTGCTTGTATTACA